TGTGTGTGTGTGTGTGTGTGTGTGTGTGTGTGTGTGTGTGTGTGTGTGTTTGGTTGGTTGATTTTTTGTCTTTTTTTTTTATAGTGAAAGGAAAACAACTTTATTTTATGGGTTGGTATGTTTAAAGGGCAGAGTGAGGTCAGTGTAAGTAACAGGTCTTATAAAGAGCTTTAGAGGTTGTAAGGTCATAGAGCCATCTCTTGAACATATTTCCCCCAAAAGGCATCTACAGGTATTTTCTTCTCACTATCAGAAGACAGGTGAATCTACAGAGACAAGTGAATACCAAGGGGAGGATTAACTGATTCACTGTTGCCCTTGAAAACTTCACAGACACTCAATGTAGCAACACACCAGGACTCCAAGGTGCATATTAAAGTCTAAGACACACCATTGTGACTCTAAAGCTAGGGACAGAAAGTAAAGAGACATTAAAAAATAATAACCACACCACTGGCACCAAGGCAGAACTGACAGTGTGCTTAGCACATGCTGTGAGGTTTTCCACAACTTCTCTGTTGATCAGCAACCTAAAAGGAATGCATCATCATCTCCACTTTACAAATGAGAAAAATGACCCTCACAAAAGATCAGTAGCTCAACTATGACTCAGTAATAAGTGGCAAATTCAAGATGTTCAAAACCAAAGCCTTAGCTGCTAAATGACTTACTACCTGTAAGTGTGCTTTGAAATGTTCTGAAGGTAAGGAATCTATGAATTCTGGAATTGTTTGGAATTATGGATGTGCTTCTGGATATTGTATACATCAACCCTCTAGAGACTCTCAAGAAAAAAACATAACTGTCTGTCTCTCCCAAGTTATAGGCCACAAGGTAATAAATATACTATAACCTATTAAATAAAATGTGAACAAAGAGAAAATCATTTCAACATATCAGTCTACTGGAAACTTGGGTATATAAATTCATTAAACAGTTATATCCGGGTTGGCACTATTAGAACTTAAGCTCATGAACACAAAGCCCTTGCCTCTACCTCAGATCCTATGAGACCAAAACAGGTAAAATATTCCTTGCAAGTTATATGTTCTATTTGCAGTTAAGAATAACTGCACAAAACTCAAGTCCAAGAAGATCTAAGACTTCAACATAAACCCAGACATACTGAGCCTGATAGAAGAGAAAGTAGGAAATAATTTGAACACATTGGCATAGGAGACAACTTCCTGAACAGATCACCAATAGCCCAGACACTAAGATCAATAATTAACAAATGGGACCTCGTGAAACAGAAAAGCTTCTGTAAGGCAAAGGATACTGTTAATAGTACAAAAAGGTAGCCCACAGAATAGGAAAAGAATTTCAGCAATTCCACATCCAATAGAGGGTTAATATTCAAAATATATAAAGAACTCAAGAAATTAGACATCAACAAACTAAATAATCCAATTTAAAAATGGATATAGATCTAAACAGAGAATTTTCAACAGAGGAATCTCAAACAGCCAATAGACACTTAAAGAAATGTTCAACATCCTTAGCCATCAGGGAAATGCAAATCAAAGGGACTCTGAAATTCCATGTTATACCTGTAAAAATAACTAAGATCAAAAACACAAGTGACAGTTCATCCTGGAGAAGATGTGGATTAAGGGGAACACGCCTCCATTGCTGGTAGGAATGCAAACTTTGGAAATCAATGTGGCAGGTTCTCAGAAAATTGGGAATTGATCTTCCTCAAGACCCAGCTATATCATTTCTGGGCATGTACCCAAAGGACACTCTATCCTATCACAAGGATATTTGTTCAACTATGTTCATAGCAGGTTTTTTCATAATAGCCAGAAACAAGAAACAACCTAGATGTCCCTAACTGAGGAATGGATAAAGAAAATTTGGTACAATTACACAATGGAGTATTACTCAGCTATTAAAAACAACGACATCATGAAATTTGCAGGCAAATGGATGGAACTAGAAAACATCATCCTGAGTGAGGTAACTCAGGTCCTGAAAAAACAAACATGGTATATACTCACTTATAAGTGGATATTAGCTATAAAGTAAAACATAATCATGCTATGGTCCACAAGCCTAAAGAGGCTAAAGTAACAAGGAGGGCTTAAGAGGGAGACAAGGATCTCCCTGGGAAGGGGAAATAGAATAGATTTTCCTGCTGGACTGGGGATGGGTAGGGTTGGGATCAGAAGAGATCAACTTGGGGGAGCGTGAAAATACTGGGAGAAACAACTCCCAGTTGGAATTGGGGAGTATTTCAGGGGTGAAGTGGCAACTTAGTACAATGGAAACTCCATGGAATCTACTAGAGTAACCCTAGCAAAGACTCCTAGTAATGGGGAACACAAGACCTGAACCAGCCATCTTCTGTAACTATACAAGGCTTCAAGAGGAAGGATTGGGACACCAACCCAGCCATAAAACCTTCAACCTACAGTTTGTCTTGTCTGCAGAGTGTTCTGGGATTGGAGCCTAGCAGAATCATCATCATCAAAGGGACCAGAGAGACTTCATCCAGCAACTGATAGGAGCAAATGCAGAGTCCTACAACCAAACATTAGGCGGAGCTCAGGGAATCCTGTAAGGGGGGGTGAAGAGGAAGGATCAGAGGAACCAGAGGGGTCAGGGACACAAAGAGAACACAGCTCAGAGAATCAACTGGTCAGGACTCTTGAGGGTTTGTAGAGATCAGGGAGCTTATAGGGGTCTGACCTAGGTCCTCTGCAAATAAGTTATGGCTGAGTTGCTTGGTGTTCTTGTGAGATTCCTACAGTAGGGACAGGGTCTGTCTCTGACTCCTTTGCCTGCTTGTGGGACCCTTTTCCTCCTCCTGGGTTGCCTAGTCCAGCCTTGATATAATGACATGTACTTGGTCTTACTGTAGCATATTAGGCTGTGTTTGGTTGATATCCCTGGGAGGCCTGCTCTTTTCTGAGGTAAGATGGAGGGAGCATGGAACTGGGGGAGAGGGGAAATAGAGGGAGAGCCTGGGAAGGGGCAAGGGAGGGGAAACTGTAATTGTGATTTAATATATGAGATAATCATAATGATGATGATGATGATGATGATGATGATGACGATGATGATAGTAGAAAGAATAAGTTCCTGTTTGTCCTGTGTTTGTTTGACCCATCTACACTGGATATGCTTGATCACATGTGGGTAGGAGGTATGCGGACAGGAAATAGGCCAGGACATACACTTGCCCTGATTGGATATAGAAGGAAGTACATCAGGATATATGTTTGCCCCTGATTGGACCTGGTGTGAAATGTGATGGCCCCATGGTTTTGCTTGTTAAGCCCCTGTAAAACGTATTTCCTGTGAATTGCAAAGTGGTCCTAGCCAGAGCCCATCCTCTTGGTCAGTATTTAATTAAGCTTGCTTCAAATTTGGCTTAAGATTGTGGTAATGGCTTATTCTTGATCAGTGAGGTTAACAGAACAAAACCAAAGACACAAGCAGCAAACACAAACTATACATGTGGGATTGCACAAAAGGCTGTACGTTCTGTTCTTTAAGTCACATTCAGCACTGTCTAAGAAGCCAAGGACCCTGTGAAGTTCACTAGGCAGCAACCTAACTGAATCAATGAGCTTTAGGTTCAGTGAGAGTGAGAGATCTGACTCAAATATAAATAAATAAAAATGGAATGTGATCAAGGAAAGAATACCAACATCAACCTCTATCCTCTACTTCCACATCCATGTCTACACTAGTACACATGCATGTGTATACACAGATGCACACACATCTATCCAGACTAACAAGTGTCTACACCATACAATTTAATAAGATAAAATAAAAGGCTATCATGTAACTCAGCATAGTGCTAGATACATAGAAGGCTCTAAAGATGCCTTTGGTCTTGATAGAAGTAATGATGCTGACTACCAGTGGTCCTGCCTGTTGGAAGTGAGGACACAGAAAGCTCTAGCTCTAAGCCTCTTGACTAAGCACAGGCAGAAAGATGGCACAATGGAGCAAATGTTTATGTTACCCTAAAACTCCTATGTTGAAGTCCTCACATCAATGGGGCTATATTTAGAGCTGAGATCTTTACTTGATCATAAAGGTACAGCCTAAGTGATCAGGGTAAGTTTCCTTATTAGAAGAATCACCAATTTAATATCCATTCATTCCCCTCTCTCCCTCCCTCCCTTCCCC